CATCAAAAGATTACGATGCTTTAGTTATTGTTGCTACGGAATTAGATCAAATTAAAGATTATGTTCACAATACAGTCACAAAAGATCTTCAAACATTTAGTCAAGTTAGAATTAGAAATAAGTATTCATTTTTTCTTTATTTATTTCATTTTAGTTAAACAAAAAATTTGATAAAGAACTTACATCAATAATTAATGATAACGTTCCAGGCAAACGATTTGTTAGTATTTAATCATTTGATAAGATAAGAAAAAAGAATCGCCTTTTTTTCTTTTTAATTAGATTTATTCACCAACCGGCAAAATTAATCGGGATTATGATGATGTACGCCGTTTTACTGATGCAGCATCAGCTGGAATGAAAAAGGCTATATCACTCGGTGCAAAAGCTCCTCTAATAGCAAGTTTTGGTTCAAAAAAATATCCACAAGCACATTTAGCTTCATTACTATCAGCACTTGATACAACTTATGTGGTAAATAAAATGACTTTATTTGTGTAATTCTAAATATATTTTTTAGCCATTACAAGTTCGAGAAGATAAACCTGAAAAAAAGAATAAAGTTGAACGATTAGGTTTTTTTATTGGTCAATCATCATTAAATAATAATTATAATGAAAAATTAATAAATTATGCTCGAGCTATTGAGATGGGACGTGTTGTTGCTAGAGATATTGGTGGAGCAGATCCTGAACGTATGGCACCACCACGTGTTGCTGAATATATACAAGATTTATTTAATAAATCATCTGATGTGAAAGTAAAAACAATCCATATATATATATATTATTTTATATAAGAAATATTGTGTTGAATTATAGATTAATATAATAAAAGATAAAAATGAATTTGAAAAAAATTTTCCTTTATTTGCTGCTGTTAATCGAGCTGCGAGTAGTACGTATTAATAATATTAGAAATTTGTAAAATAATTTTTAATCTTCTGTAGACATTGATCGTCATCAGGGTCGACTAATTTTTCTTGAATATCAAGGCCAAGGTGAGATTGATTCAACTTTATTACTTGTTGGTAAAGGTGTTACTTATGATACCGGTGGTCTTGATATTAAAAGTATACTAAAATTTCTTTTCTTCTTTTTAATTAATATTTAAATTACACTTTTTTTTTGTTTATAGCTGGTGGTGCTATGGTAAATAAAATTGTTTTCTTTTTTGTTTTTATAATGCTTCTATTTATTTTTTTTTGAAGACGAGTATGTCCTATGATAAATGTGGTGCTGCTGATGTGGCTGGTTTTTTTAAAATTCTTTCTGAATTAAAACCAAAACAATTTAAAGCTATTGGTGTTATGGCTGTAGCTCGTAATAATTGTGGTGAAGAAAGTTATGCAACAGATGAAATTTTAAAATCAAGGGCTGGTGTTCGAATTCGTGTTGGAAATACAGATGCAGAAGGTAATAAAAATAATAAATAAGCATTATATATACATATTTTGATATCATTTAGGTCGACTAGTTATAGCTGATCCATTGTGTTATATGAAAGAATTAGCACTTAAAGAAATTAATCCACAATTGTTTACTATCGCAACACTTACTGGACATGCTGTTCGATCATATGGAGATAGTTATACGGTAGAGAGGAAAAGAATACATACTTATATATCAATGAATACTTATTTGGGATATATTTTTTTTAAAGGTAGTGATGGATAATGGACCAGCACGAGCCAATAGAATGGCTCAAAAACTTCAAACTTTAGGTGAAGAAATTGGTGATCCATTTGAAATTTCAACTATTCGACGAGAAGTTTTTTTTTTTTTGCTATCTATGCTTTATAATTTTAAATATTATTATTTAGGATTTCGATTTTATTAATGATAAAAGCGAAGTAACAGACATATTACAATGTAATAGACAACCAAGTAATGCTACTGATCGTGGTCATCAATATCCTGCTGCATTTCTTGCACGAGCATCTGGTCTTGATAAACATGGCCGTGATTCAGAAAACCCATTAAGTTATACGCATATTGATATTGCTGGTAGTGCTGGAAAATTACCAAATATGCCAACTGCTCGTCCTATTCCAGCTCTATGTCAAATGTTTATTGCTGATCGTGTTTTATAGTTTCCTTTTTTGTTCATCCATTTTTGTTATAGTTCAATTTAAGAAAATATATAAACAATATATAAACCATTTCATTTATTAAAGATGGGACATAGTAAAATTAAAATGCATTTTTCTCAAGATGACAAACTTTTCTAGCGCTAACTTTTTCCTATTGTGTGTATCTTAAGTTACTCTAGGTACTCTGAAATTCACTTCATCTATTAAAGTTTATATAAGCTCTGAATTGAGGTAGCATTTTTGAAAACTAAATAGTACATTCCGTAGACAACTCTTTTGGGTATAAAATTTCTATCAATATTTTTATAACCGAAGGAGAGAATCAAAATCAATTTCAAATGTTAATAACTCTTCCTCAGAATCTCTAGATGACGGTAAGACAAACATTTTTATTTGTGAACTTGATAGGATCTCTAGAAAACCAATGTTTAAGAGAAATTTTTTTGAGTCTGATCTCGCTGCAATTTTCAATAAAGAAGCAACTCGTGTCTTAGAGTTTATCCTGAAGTTTTTTTTTCCTATATTGCTAGAGAAATATTCGCTAATCACTTTTTAATTAATAGTTAGCTGAAACAACCAACATTTTTACATATGTCTATGCTAAAAATATTTGTTCAGAAAAATAATCCTTGTAAAGAATCAAGACTAAATGAAAGGTGAATATGTCCTATTTTGTCTTAAGTGGCCCATATACAAAAAAACAATCTCTCTTTTGTGAATACCATTGGGACCATTAAGAAAGTGTTCGATGTATAGAAGTATTCGGTTCAGATAGTTTACACACGGTTTGCTGTGATATAACAAAACTGTTCCAGAATATTGGTTTTCACACTAATCGTAGTTAAACATCTAATGATCTATGCTCTTATTTATCTGTTTTCATTTGACTGTCTTGCATTGAAAGATTTTTTACCTACACCACAATGTCGTTTTTTAAAATTCTCTAATGCTATTTTGTCTTTTCGTCTTTGAAACAAAATTAATGTTAATAAAAGTTGATTCCAAGTCATTAGTAATTTTAATTTGTCTCTTGCAAAGTAAGTTCCTGTCATGATATCATTCTTTTCTTTACACGTAGAGAGTAATCGAGCCATGCTTAAAATGGTTGTTCTTGTAGTTCATTAGAAACAGGCGATAGCTAGTAGAAAGAGGTAAAAAAGACATTGCATGTGTGTTCACAATAGAGAGATTACAATAGTAGGAGGAACGGCAAAACAGGTGTTTATTATTCAGAATAACAAGTTGTTCACATGAGAAAGGGAAAGGTATTTTTGGAAAAAAATCACTTCAATGGAAATGAAAATTTCATTCTTAGAAGATGTTCATAAATAGAGGTTGTTATATAATAGAAAAGATTATATATTTGTATGTCAATTAAATGTGATTGCTATGAAATCGATTAAAATTTATTAATATAAATAACGAATTAATTTTCATGGCAATCTTTGAAAGATCAACGTGTGAAAAAGAGCATAAAATTTATTTAATCTTACACAATAAGTTGAGGAATATTTCTTATATCTGTTACGAAATTGCCAGAAAGTGTTGTAGAGATTTGTTTTGTAAGGATTGAAGAAATTGGCCTGCATAATCCGTGAAGAAATACGTCTTGTAGAGGCTATTTATATGATAAGTATATCGTCTGTAAGGTCATTGTAATTTGTCAATTTCAAGTGAAATATTCATTATATGTTGTATTTAGCCAAGACGAAAAAAAGAAATTTAATTTATTCAATAATCCATTTAGAATTAAATATTTTCAACTAGAAAAATTTTATCAAACATTGGATATTTATGTAACAATGTTTTTCTTAAATTAACTCTACTATTTAAGTACTCTGCGTCATGTTCTTAGAAAAAGATTCATTTTTAGAATAACAACAAAAGAACCTAATTTCCAGCTTAGTCAGAAACAGATTTTTTTTCTTTTAAAGTGCTCAATTTGATGATGTCTGCGATGACTCTCTTAATATAATTATAATAAATTAATTTCAATGTTGACAACATGCCAGAACAATGTTTCTAATGGGAATAGAGAACCAAATGGTTTTTTTAACGCTTTATTTATACCAGAGAAATGAATACGTATATCTTATTTTTATCAATGAGCTCATCAAAATGTAGAACGACGAATTCTTTTGTTTTGAAATAATTATTAAAGAAAAAGGAACAAAAATTAACTTCATATTCTTTCATTTGACAGAAAAATACCTATCGATAATAAAAAAAAAGATTATAAGAGAAAAAAAAACATTTTTTTTGTCCCTTGTTCTCCTGATATAATCAAGAAGAGATTAGGAGATAAAAGAAAAAAAGTCATATATTCTACAAAAGAAAAATAGACTAAGTTAAATTTATTACTTTGCTTTCGTTAAGTACTACATATAATCATCTTAAAAACAAAGTGTTCTTTTATTCAACAAAGTTTATTGCGTGCATTCTAGTGTTCAAAGAAAAAACAGCATGTATATCGAAAATAGTCGATGTTCTTTAAATTTTGTTTCGGCATCTTGGTATACGTGCCATTAAAAATGCTCTATCAGAACTATCGAAGATTCAATAAACATGATAATCTGTGTGCGAATGCCCTCTATAATAACTTAATTTTAATCAGTCATTCCCATTATCCAATGTTAGGCAAGTGCTACAATCATATTCTATTAAAAAACAGTGCAAGTAGCGAATTCTGTCTGAAATAGTTGTCTACTGTTACATATATGCAACTATCGTTTTTTTTTCTTATTCTTCCGGGAAACAGAAATACTAGTGCATCATATTTTTATTCTCGTTCTTTTTTTTCTCATATATATATATATAGATTGCCATAAACCTTGCATTTAGTCATTTATATATTTCTTTATATTACTTATATTAAAAATAAAAATAAGAGAAAATACGAAGATAAGTCATGACTGAATATAAGCTCGTCGTCGTCGGAGGTACAATAGATAATTTTAAAATTGAATTATGTGATAAATTTATTGTATTCCTTTTTTGTGACATCAGCTGGCGGCGTGGGCAAAAGTGCATTGACAATTCAACTGATTCAAAATCAGTAAGTTTTAAAATAAATTTATTATTATTTTGATTAATTTAATTTATTTTCTAGTTTTATTGATGAATATGATCCAACAATTGGTATGAAGATAATTTATTGTTTGTCTTTTTAAGGCTTGATTTTTTTAATGAAAATTTTAGAGGATTCCTATCGAAAGCAAGCTGTTGTCGATGGTGAAACATGTCTATTGGATATTCTTGTATGTATACGAATTAACTATTGAAATTAATTCATTATATTTTTGTTTTTCATATTAATAGGATACTGCCGGACAAGAAGAATATAGGTTTGGAGATAGAACCCTCGAATGATATAAGTTTGATATGTTCTTATTTTAGTGCCATGCGTGACCAATATATGCGTGGTGGTGAAGGATTCCTATGCGTGTTTGCAGTTAATAGTGCAAAATCATTTGAAGAGATAAAGCAATATCGTGAACAGATAAAGCGTGTTAAAGATGCTGATGATATTCCTATGGTTTGTAAGTATTACAAAAATGAAAAGAAAAACTTTCGTTTATTTAATAAACTTGAATCATTTAAATTTAAATAGTAGTGGGAAATAAAATTGATTTACCTACACGTACTATTGATTTATCTTATGCAAAAGACTTTGCTGCATCGCTATCGATGCCATTTGTACAAACATCAGCTAAAACACGACAAGGTGTTGAAGAAGCATTTTATACACTTGTGAGAGAAATAAGAAAATATGTAAGTCAATTTTTTTTCTTTCCTTTTATAAAAAAGAAATTATTTGTTTTTTTGTAGAAGGAACGCACACGTAAAGATCGAAAGGGTCGTAAAAATAAAAGTAGTGGTAGTGGTACAAATATTGGCGGAAATAAATCTTCATCATTAAAAGATAATCGTAGCCAAAGCGCAAAACAACGTAGTGAAAAACGAAGTTGTATGCTTATGTAAAATATAGTCATTACTATAAAAGAAGAATGATCTTTTTTTTTGTGTCCTCTTCTCCTCCTCCCACTGTCAGATATTTGTTGTGTGTTGTTTCCGAGAAACAAACTTTTTTTTTTTGTTTGTATGTGTGTAGTGTTGTGACTCTATTATTTTTTTCTATTTACTAGTCAAACAAATAATACGTCATATTTTATCTCCAGAAAGCCAAATATCTATCTTTTTTAGTTGTTATGTGATACACACGCACACATACACAACGCTTTTGTTTATTCTAATCTTATGCTTTTTTTTTTCGTTGGTTTTTTTTATTGTATGTGCAGTAGTTGTTGGCAATCAGAAGAATGAATTTTTCTTACTATATATACAGAAATATATATATAATTGAGTTTTACGCTTGTATTTCTTCAGATGTATCTACGGCCAACACGAACACAAATAATATCCTCTTCTAATATTGAATTAGAAGAAAAAAAAGATGAACAAATTTTGAATGATAAAGACAAGAAAAAAAAAGTGAGATGAAATTTAAAAAATCAAAAAAAAAAAAGAATACTGCGCATTGTAATTTTTCTTGTTTATTCTTATATTCCCATGATATTTCAACTTTATTATTCTTTTTTTTCTTTTCTAGCGCTTCAAAAGTCCCACGAGGTAAGAAAAATATAATCATAATAAAATAATGATAGAAGAGAGAGAAAGAATATATTTATTATTCTTCGAAGTGTAACTTTACTTATTGTTTAACAAGATAAAAATGAACAAATATGAATTGATGAAACAATCGAATAAATATTTTATTTCAATTGATTTTTATTTATCGTCAGCTGAGGTATGGAGAAAAATTCGAATAGTTAGATGCCTATTAATTATTAATACTACAATGATACTGATATGTATATAATACTAATAAATTTATTATTATTTTAGAAATATTTTCAAACGAAAAAGTGATGATCATATTGAATCACCATATTATCATTTTGATGGAAACGAGAAACAGTATTCAGACTTGCAAGTAAGTTGCAAATTTTGAATAATAGTACATTTGTACCATAAGTTTGAGAGAACCGTTATCTAGTCAAATCATTTATATCTTGTAATTTTTTTTTTAATAACTAACTTCTTTTTACAAAATATTTTTCATTGAAAATTTTTCTTGAGGCTTATTTTTTGTCTAAATAATTTTCAAAGAAATAATTCTTGAATTTAAAATGATAAAACTTATATTTTATTAAATTTAGTTTCAAGAACCAACAACTAAAATTCCTATACATGCTATTATTTTAGCAACTGCTCTCTTTCTACTTGGTTTTCTAATGATTACATTAGGTTCATTAATATTAACTGGTTATATCCAAACACAAGTTCGTATTATTTTTCTGTTTTACTTTCTTCTTTCTCATTACTGCTGATTAATCTTTCTTTTTTAAAGCATACTGATCGTTCATGGCCATTAATACTGATTGGTTTACTTGTTTTTCTTCCTGGTTTTTATCATATACGTATTGCCTATTGGGCATGGAAAGGTGATAAAAATTTTTCTTTTGCTGATATACCAGATTTAGATTGGTTCTAATCAAATATTATGGATAAATATACATGCATTTTGTTGTTAATATATATTTCTTTTATTTTATTAAACATTCTCTTTTATTAAGTGATATTCTGTTTGATTGATTAAACGATGAGCACCATCTAAGAAAAACAAAGTTTCTAATTACAATTTTTTCTCTCTTGCATACTTACAAGCACTAGGAGGTAATGATGTACATAACTTTCTCGCTAAATTAATAAACCAAGAATGGGTATTAAATGGATTTTCATTCATATAAATTCCTTTATCATCTTCACGAGTTGTTAAACCACGACTTGATATCATACATTGATATCCTAATAAATTACATGTATAAAGTGCACTAGAACCAGTTATAATTAAAATAAAATACGATGGAATTGATGATATAATTGACTGTGAAAATATTCCATCATTAATATAGATTAAAATCTGACATTAAAAAACAACATTATTATTTTTTTTTCAATAAAAATTTCAACAATACTTTGATAAAACTTGTTGCAAATAAAAAAAGTTCTGTTTGTAATAAAAAAATAAGAAATAAGAAAAAAAATCGATAGTTTCTCATTCCAATACATGTACTTAAAAATGGACAATGATGATCAAGTATAGATATACAATTTGAACAAATAGCACAATGTGATGAACGTGGTGGTCGAATCATTTGACATGTTATACAATATTTACATTTAACTAAAATATCATTTATTTTAATATCATATGTTAAATTATTTAAATAATCAGACGATATTTGATTTAAATTTAATTTTTTTCTTAAAATTAAACGTTCACTAAATGTTGGACGTTGTATAATACCTGGATCAGTGCACATTGAACGAAAAAAATAAACTAGAGAATAGAAAATTTGATTGTTTTTCTAATATGTTTCTTGTCTCACTATATGTATAAAAAATTAAAAGAAGACCAACAATAAGAATTAATAGACTTGTATTATTAAATTCTTTCATAAGAATAGGTAATTCAAAAATTAGCCAAAGTATACATGTTAAAGAAATAAGACAAATAACAATGATTGCACCGGAAAGATTTCTTCCAGTAATACAATGTCCATTAAAACAAAAATGATTTGAACCAGCATGAATTTGCCAACGATGAATATTTGATAAATGTTCATATTGACTTGTTTGAAGATATGTTCTTGTCATGTGTCTTTTCTTGTTAATAGATGTTATAAACGCGCGAGAATTTTATTCAAACTTTTTGTATATATTATCCTTCATATTCACAAGGACATTTTTCTTTCTTTCTTTTCTTTCTATTCAATAAGACTAATCTTTCGACTCTCGGTACAAGGATTTTCCTTGTAACCTTTGCAATCGAAAGGGTGAAAAGGGCAGCGAATCATTACCTTCTATCATACGTTGTCTCCTATAAAACATCGCTGTAAAGCGATCGACTCATTTATTTTTTTTTTCACGGATCATTTAGTGTTTGATCAAGAAATATCACAATGTGTATGAAAACGGTTTGTAATAAATGTGGTAAACCAACATGGAAAGGTTGTGGTCAACATATTGAACAAGCATTACAAGGTGTACCTCATGATGAACGATGCAAATGTGGAACACATTCGCAAGCACCAACAATAGTTACAGTGAAGAAAGGGAAATAAAAAAGATTAGAACAATTATTTACAATGAAATCAAGTGTAGAGAAACAAAAACATAAAATTAAATATTAACTTTCATTTTTATTCTTATATCAATATATTATTTTTATTTTTTGATATTTAATAGATTAACAATTGATTAGATCAAAGTTCAAATTATTATTGTTTGTTTTTTCTTTTTTCATCAATTATAATTTATCGGTTAGTAAAATGAAACTTTAGATTTTCTTGTTCTTTTTTTCACTCATGGTATTTATCTTTTTTTGTATCTGAGCATAACTTATACAATTATTAGAACGATTTAATTTGTTTTCAAAATCTCGAATAAAATAAACTGTTTTTTAAGTAAAGATATCTTCATAATGAACATGGCTAGATGTAACAAAGCTAATTTTTGCTAGAATCACAATACTACTCGAGACATACAATTATTTTTATCATCCTTTTTATTATAATAACATGCCTAATACGAATACTCCTGCAATGTTTTCTCTTTTTTACTGTGTACTATGTCTTTATAATTATAATACTACTGAGCACATTAGATAAAAAGCATGAATAACTTAATTTACGAATTTTCAGAAAAAAAAAGAAACTTTATCATTAAATATTAATCATAATCATAATGTTTCTTTTTGTTTTGTTTTGTAAAAAGTCTCTCTTAAAAGACATGACTTTAAAAAACAAAAACCACGCATTACTTTTTCTTCATTGCATGACATATATTTCTTATTGTTGTGTTGAAGTTATCATGTTTATCCAGCGTGTGATGTGTAAATAAATAATATAAAAACACAATGACACAATGACACAATTTTATGAGATAAGGTAACGCGCAGACATTTCCAGGTGTTGTCTATCCTTTTCAAACGCGACTTAGTGAATCATGCGTGTTACAATAAAAATTTTTGCGTCTATAACTTACTTCTGAAGAAATTAAATGTTTTTCGTGAATTTTCATTGTAGGATTCCATATTTCCAGCATCAATACATCTTTAAATTTTTATCCAATATAAAGACGTTCATTAGACTAATTTGCGTAAAAGATTTACAAACTTTTCAACTAATGAGAGAACCTCTCTAGATGTCAAAAGCTTTTGTACCGAAACGACGTTCATTAGCATTCAAACTCTTCAGAAATAGACCATAAGTGCGAACGATTTTTATAGTAGACATACTTCACTAAGTCTCGACTGAAAACAAACTGACAAGCGGCAATGTACCCTCTTACGTACGAATCAGATACAAATAAAATACATATTTCAATGACACGAGTACCGTTCAATAGCAAATTTTGGAAAAATCCTTTATCATTTACGGACAGTTATATATCTGTGCAATACTCTAAATTAAATATTATCTTATTTTGCTAAATAAGATATTTTAATTGTATAAAATCAGTGTCAAAATTATTTCAATTTAATAAGTAGTTTTATAGGTTTTAATATATACATAATGAAAAATTTATACAATTTACTTTCCATGAATTAGTTGGAAGAAGAGATATGAACTAATAGAGTAAAGATTGATGCTTAACTTTTTGGTGGACATTTAGAGCATCTCAGTCCAGCAGCTTTCAAGAACACTGGAATATACCTATAACCTTCATCATAATATTGTCACAATTTTTTCATTAAATATTTATCTTTTACAAAATTATATTTCCGATGTTTTAGAATTGGAGCCTTCATATCATCTTGTATTCTTGTAATCGATACTAAAGGTTGTCCTTTTTTCAGTAAATCAATCGCAATGTAAATGTTTGAATATGGAGAATTTACATGTTTTTCGCATGCGAGAATGTTGATTTTCCAAATAGTGAATAGTATGTGGTGTTATATCACGTTTGGAAAATTTATCCGAGTTTTGTTTTGACAATACATTGATCGCCGCGTAAAATACATTTTTTATGTAATCAATGGACAATAAATCATGCATACGATAATGAAGTAGTCTACAATTTACAAGTAGGCATATGCTGTAGTACATGAAATGGTAATCTATAGTTTAATTTTATTACAACTTATGAATGCTAGTATAAATTTCTACTGTTAAAACTTGTTGGTTTTCAAAATGAATTAAAATCTTACAAAGAAATGTAATCTATAAACTCTTTGAAAAGAAATATCTTGTAATAGATTGATAAAAATTCGGACATAATTAGTGCTACAGAGTTGTATCCATTTTATTGTGTACAACAAATCACATACAAATACACCCAAAAACAGAAACAATTACTAACAATTAAAACATAAAAACAACTTTTAAATATTCCATGTATTATTAACTAGATGAATAAAATCATCATCTAGATTAACAGCAATATTAAGTCCTTCATAAACATTAAGAAATTCTGAATATGATACATGTGGATAATGTAAAGCAAAATGAAATGTATCACAAAAACGTGTCCATAATTTTTCATCAGATAAATGATCTAAATTATGAAAAAAAAAAACAAGAACATTAGAACACTTATTGCATCTTTAAATATTTCTATTTACTTTGAATAGCATATGGATGTCCATAAAGATTAACAAATTTTTTCATTGAATCCATATCTGTATAACCTGTTTTAGATGGATCTAATTTTGAATAAGCCTAAACAAAGAATATTACATATATCTATGTTAAATATATAGTTTTTTTTAATTTTACTTTTATAACTTGTGCAAAACGTTTTTCATTAAGTTCACCAAAAAGTAAATTAAGAAATTCATTTGCCTCACCTTGTATTGACATACGAGACCAAATATAAGCAAAATGCTATTAGAATGCAATTTACACAACAACAAAAAAAACAACTTAAATTTGTCTCTATTTTACTTACTCCAGCACTTAAATGTATTCTATATTCATGTAATCCAACTAATAAATCTTCTTTTTCACATATGCAAATTGAATTTTTGTTTTCATATTGATTAATATTAGCGCGTTTCCGATAAAATTGAGCTAAACTTGTATAAACAACAACTGCTCGTTGTTTTATTTGTGGTACAGTTAATTGATGAACATCTGCTAAATATCTTTGATGTTCAAGTTGTTCTGTACTATGTGGATGTTTTATAGCATAAAGAATTTCTCGACGTTTTATATCTTGTACACCATCAAGTCTAGAATGAACAAAAAAAAAACAAAAAAATAATTAAAGTTTGTAAAAAGATTTTAAAAAAGTTTATGTACAATAATGTGTGTTTTTCTTGTTCATCTATTGAAATAATACAAATTGTTAATTTTGTTCTATGACGAACAGTTTCTGGTAAAGACATTATTGAACGTGTTTCAAAATCAATACGAGCTTCCTAATGATATTTAAATATAAAAATTAAAGTAAAAATAAATTTTCTCTTTTTTTCTTAAATATACTGGA